GTTATTCAACAACACTTTTCTTCTTCTTCTTCTTCTCCTTAGCGTTAGTCCCGCGCAGTCGCAGGGTCCGCTGTCTTTATCAGTCGTCGCCACTTCGCTCTGTCTAGGGCATCTCCTGCTGTGGCCGTGATTTCACTTAGGTCCTTCTTGATTACGTCCTTCCACCTCTTCTTTGGGGCACCTCGCGGTCGCTTGCCTTGCGCTTCGAAGTCCATTGCTTTCCTTATTGGGTGGTCCTGTGGCCTCCTTAGCACGTGCCCATACCATCGCAGACGCTGTTCCCGTACCTTCAGCTGGACAGGGGCAGTCTGCATGACCGCTCTGACATCCTCGTTTCCTGACCCTGTCCAGTCGCGTCCAGCCGCAGGCCCACCTCAGCATCCTCATCTCAGCGGAGTGAAGCTGCCTTTCGTGATTCTTGTTCAGGGGCCAGCACTCGCTGCCGTATAGCATCGCAGGCCTCACCACTGCCCGATACACCTTTCCTTTCAGCGTTCTGGAGCACCTTCGATCGCAGAGGATCCCAGTGGACTCCCTCCACTTCATCCAGGCCGCGTTGATTCGTGCCTTCACTGCCTGATCCACACTTCCGTCGGCTGCCAGATCGCTCCCGAGGTATCTGAAGTCCTCCACTCTTTCGATGATCTCTCCATGGCCGTCTACGATTGGCTCTAATCCCTCTTCAGAGCTCAGGAAACTTGGTCTTCCGACATTCAGCCGAAGCCCACCTTCTGCCAGCACTTCCTGCCATTTCTGCACCTTGCCCTGTAGTTCTTCTCTGCTTTCCGCTATCAGGGCGATGTCGTCAGCGTAGAGGATCTCTTTAATGGTCCTTCCATGAGCCCCTTCACCATGACATCTAGTGTAAGGAGGAAGAGGAACGGGCTCAGAGCTGACCCTTGGTGCAGGGTCAACCGTCTGTTCGAACTGTTCGAACGAAGGGGTCGCATTTTGGTCGGAAGGGGGTCGCAATTTCGAGGACTGCAGCCACAGGCGCGTGCGTGGCGTATCCGAGGGCAAGAATTGTTTGTGCAGACCGCATTAGATTCGATTAATTATGCACAGAGAGACAGTGTTTCCTTGAGGAATAAAGGAACAGTTGAATGCATCCCTATGAAAGGTTTGACTTCTCGGGGCTGAAATTAAAGTTCTTCGGGACCTAATTTTCTGAGGACGATTCTTCCAGACAACGGTAAACACATAAGAAAGCAGAAATCTCGTAGTCTTCAAAAATGTCTTCGCCCCTCCCCAACAAGTTCTTTGAAGGAAGTTATTATTGCTGAAAGCTCAAAAACTCGCATGTGCTGCTCAAAAACCTATGGGAACAAAATGTTCGAACGTGTGATTTTCTCGGAAAATGGATTTTGAAAAACGGTTTGGTGCTTGTCAGAAAGAGCAAATCCTGCACTTTCACCCCATGAAAAAAGTGCATCACAGAAATGAAAATGAAGTGAGTTATGCCCGCTTAAAGCCCAAAAACTCGCGATTTCAAAAAAAGTGTTCGGCAAAACCCCCCAAAATGTTCGAACGTGTGATTTTCTCGAAAAATGAACTTTGAAAAACGGGTTTAGGGCTTGTTAGAAAGAGCAAATCCTGTACTTTCACCCCATGAAAAAAAGTGCATCACAGAAATGAAAATGAAGTGAGTTATGGTCGCTGAAAGCCCAAAAACTCGCTTTTGCACGAAAAATGTTCGAACGGGACAATTTTTTGAAAAAGGGGGACAATCACTAAACTTTTTATACTATTTTGTTAGAGAAATATTTGAAGTTTCTGAAACTTTTTACAGATTTCCAAAATGTCGCATACGAAAGATTTTATGGGCCTTCAAAGTTGAAGGTGCGCCTTCTTAGAATTTTGGGTTTTCCACTTCTAACAGAAGTACTTTCCGGAGAGTTAGGCAATCCTTGTAGTTTTCTGGAAGCGCACCTCAGGCACAATCAAATCTACCTCAACAAGTCAAAAAATACGTCCCAAGAAAGTTATTCCCCTCTAAAATTTTTTCTTCGCCGCGTCCCGTTCTTCCAGCGCCCGGGTGATACCTGCCGCGCTCCAAGGCCGACGCGACGACGCGCAGACGCTTTCTGGCGCAACGGATTCATGTCTAGCACTCTTATTAACAAAAACAGGGGGTCGCAACTGGACCCCCTCGAAATCCCGAAAATGTTCGAACGTGACGTTTGACCCTGCCTTGGTGCACCCCAACCGTGATGTCCACTTCCTTCGTTAGGCCGTGTGGGGTGCGTATAGCTGCCTTCGCCCCATCGTACATGTCCTTCACCAGAGAGATCAGGTGTTCTGGCACATTCCGCTCCCTGAGCGCTCTCCATAGTACTGTTCGAGGTAGTCGGTCGAACGCCTTCTCCAGGTCGAGGAAGGCTAGGTAGCAGGGTCGGCGCATACTTCTCCATCACTTGCCTTGCGATGAAGATGGCATCCGTTGTAGACCTTTCGGGCATGAACCCGAACTGTTCCTGGGAGATCGGGACCAGCTCCCGCAGTTTCGAGTCGACCAGTCGCTCGTACAGCTTCATTGTATGAGCAGTCAACTTGATCCCGCGGTAGTTGGAGCAGTCCATCGCGTCACCCTTCTGCTTGAAGATGGGGACGATAGTGCTTGTTCTCCAGGCATCCGGCATCCTTCCTTCGGTGGTTACCGTGTTCAGGAATTGGGTGAGCCATCTGATCCCGTACTCTCCGAGCGCCTTCCATGCCTCGATTGGCACCCCATCTGGACCCACCGCCTTTCCAACCTTCATCTTCCTAGTTCTTGACGAACCTCATCCTCTGTCCATAGTGAGATAGGGCCAGCCGTCGCCTCTGCTTGCGAGCTGTCTTTGTGGGGGAACTCCTCGTTCAGGAGCGCTTTGTAGTACTCCTCCCACCTCCTCCTGACTTCAGTTGGCTTCCTCAGGATGGCACCGTTACTGCTCTTCACGCTCTTCACCACCCTAATGTCTTGGGTAGCCCGATGCCGGGCTTTGGCCAGTCTGAAGACGAACTTGCGTTTCTAACTTCTCGTACAAGGCGTCCATCTCCGTGTTCTTTGCCTTGGCTACGGCGGCCTTAGCGAGCCTCTTGCAACTCTTGTAGGCAGCGAGGTCCTCGGGGCTCCGGGTCTTCTGCCAGCGCTTGTATGCTTCCTTCTTCTGTTTCACGACTCGCTGGACCTCCTCGTTCCAGAACCACGCTGCCTTGTCTCCTCTGAATCCACCTCGCGTCTCGCCCAGTACCTCCTTGGCGCATCGTAGGATGATCTCAGCTGCATTGCCCCCAAGTGCTGCACTGGTCCCTCAGGATCTGGGAGACCAACTTCCATTATCCTTCGTTTGAGGTCGCTCTTCTCTGCTCGGTGCAACTTCCACCACCGGATTCTCCTCTCGGTTCTTACCCTTGTCTTCTTGGGAAGGTCCATGGCTATGTCTGCCAGGGAAGGGGCCTGTGCTGAGGGAGCCAGTATCTTCTTCCCATTCAGATCACCTGCTATGGTGAGGTAGTCACCTTCCGGAATCGTTCTGATGGCATTCGTCAAGCTTAGATAGAACTCGTCCTTCTCACTCTCGGGGCATCCGGTCTGCGGAGCGTACACTGACAGTATTGACCAGTACCCCTCCTTCGTGTCTATCCTCACAGCCATGATCCGATCGCTGATCCTGTTCACAGCGGAGACATAGTCCTTGAGCGACTATCGTGCTCCTGAAGGCATTGGACTTTCTTGCGCGTCATCAGATCAGCAACCTCTCGGGACCTTCCAGTTAGCGACCCTACGTTCACAGTCCAATTCGAACTAGCTTCTTTGGCCGAGGCCGTTCCCTCCTCGGTAGCCCTCGCATACTGACCACAGAACTCGGGCGGGGGTTCTGCGCGCCACTTCCGGGTGACGTCCTAGCTTTATCACTGATTCTTTGACAACTTTTAGACATGGTTGGTGTGACTGGGGTATTCATCAGCCGGCCTGTCAACCTGGGCCTGACGCTGGTACTAGAACCATTTTTGCAATTTTTGCAAGGCATGGTTTCGAACCTCGGCAGGGATCGAACTCGCGGTTTTCAGAGGTGCAGACATGAGTCTAACCTCTTAACCACTCGGCTATCCCTGCCTAACAACAATGCTCTCCTCTTATGAAATATGTTTGTTCATTTAACTCTCTCTTTATTACTGTGTAGCGTAGAGGGAGGATAATTCCACCAGTTTCGCTTCCGTCTAAGCAAAAGAGCATGCGCACAGGAGTCGAACCACTTCTTTGGTCTCCCCTAAGTCAATAGTTCTACCAAGTTCACTTTTTGCTCTAATCCAATTATTTTCTCAACAAAATTCACAATAGTTCCATACAACCGCAAAAAGTGGTGTGTACCTCCTGTAGCGCTAAAGTGGTTAGGGAAGTGATCATGCATGCCTACTTAAATTTAATGATGGTGGTCAAATATGAATGCACAGGTGGTGCGTTAGTGGCTAACGAACAAAGCCCGGAAAACATCATTCTCCCGTTGGCTTTAGATGGGTTTATGGCTGAGATCTGGCTGTTTTGGTGAGCGTGTCCTAACAGAGGCGACGAGGCTACAAGATGCGGCCGTTTGAGTAAAACACACTTTTTAAAGAAAAGGTGAATGTCGTAATGATGTAGCAAACTCCAAAAACCCGGAGGCCAGCCATTTTCGAGGAAGAAGCTACACCTCGCCTTTCTTCCGGTCTGGCTACAGCTTCAGTGGTGCACACACTTCCCTGGTACAGAATCACTTTATCTCACTCACTGTCTTCGAGAGATTAGTTTTCAGACTGAAGATTGCGATTGCTATCTGAGCGCAGGAAGAAGACCAGGTCTCCAGCCACTATAAACCAATATCCTTTTAATCGATGAAAGGTTGATCGGTTTTTCCTGTGGTCGACTCGTAAGTGGAACAGGTGGAACTAGCGTTCCCATTAGGAACACGATTTAATTCGCTAAAGCAACAACTTCGCCCCAGAACACTTTGAAATGTTTGAAATGTTTCTTTTCAGAGATGGAGAGCATAAAGAAGTTCTTCCGTACGATAATACGTGGAGAGGATGTCGACTACGCTCAGTTTGAATCAAAGTGAGTTCATCTTCAATTAATACTTCGGAAGGGCTCTTACTGACCGGCTGGCCCTGCTAGCCATTTGTGGGAAAAACATACGATTTCAAATGCCACCAGGATTCGAAACAAAAGTTCCCACAACAAAAAAACTTCATCACACTAATTTGTGATTTCATATTTTATTGAGATACTTTTCCTACTCTTGCGACCAAGTCAGGGATACTTGACCCTTGCGCGAGTCCATCGACCATTAGGCGCTCATGTCCTTCAAAGCAAAAGATAAAGCAATTGCCGTTGATCAATCCCTTTCTTGGGATGCGGCACGCATTCTACTTCTATTTGTACATTAGTGGTGGCGTTTGAATTACGATGTGGCCATCCTTCCCAGACAAGTCTGGTACCAATTAACCGACCCCGGAGGGATGGAAGGCTTGGTTGGCCTGGCGACTCACGACCCAGGATTTGATCCCCGGACCGCTCGCGTGGTAAGCGTGCCACTTGCCACTACACCACTTCCGCCCACTCATGTCCTTAGGGGGCATTGTAAACCGTTGGTAGGTGACACTAGAATAAAGCAAGGCGTACAATGAAACACCAGAGAAACAGTGGTCTACTCAATGGCTCTCCAGATTCATTCTCTTCCTCCCTAAGACTTGATCCCGAGGTCTATGAGTGCCCTACTCACTTCAGTGTCCCCTAAGAACATTAGCCCCCTTAACGGCACATTTGGAAATATAAAAACGGGTAATGGGGTTCACTCAGAAAATTGTAGGTAATGATGAAGTTGTCAACGAACAAAAGATGAGATCACTGGGAACTTGAACTTCCTGTGAGGATCTGGATGTTTTCATAAAACACACTGGGTGACGAGGAGAGAGAACTACAGACAGAGACGAGAGAGCGCACGGAAAGCTAGACAGCAGATACAGTAACGGTGGGTGTGGGTGATTTCGGGTTCAGTTTCAGGACCATGGTTGCAGGTTCCCTAGTGCCCTCTCCACGCATTATGAGTTTGGAAAAGTGACCAGCCTTGAGAGCAGCGAAACCCAATTCACGGAAGGGATTGGTCCAATGAACAAATCGCGCCTTTGAAATAACCAAAGCAATGGTCGAAGTGATCCGTTGAAGAATGACCTGGGACTTTCGATGTTTTTAAGAACAATTTAACCTTTTGAGAAAGCTAAACGAATAGAAACGTGTTCTTACTCTTCCAATTTATCTGAACATCTGAATTTCATTTGTTCTGAAGGAAGCTCATTCAGGATGGATGGCACCGACATTGTTACGTTTCGAGAAAATGACAAGGCTTTTCGATTATTTGGTACGAACGTTCATGTAAAGGTGAGAAATGAGGTCAATAGACCGTGAATGAGTGAATGGGCAGGACATTATTCGGAAGAGAATTCTCTAAAATTTTATGTTTTCAATTTATATTATTATTTTAGTTTTTTTTCATTATTTCTTTTTATTTATTTACTTCCGACAATTTACGACTGATTCATCTCGAAGAAAAGTTCCAACTCACATCGCAGAACTTGGACCGGTTGCAAGCTCCTGACCGACGGAAGGTTTACCCACTGGGACCAGTGAGGAGGCCTGCTTGAGTGAGGGCCAATCTTTGGTTCCTTCTTCAAAATTTATATTGCACTGCTAAACCTACCTGAAAAGAGTAATAGTTATCCCGTAGTTGACGTTACTAATACATAGAAGAAAAAACCTCCAGGGAGCGGGTTCGATAAATTTGTTCCACTTTGTTTCCTACAAAGGGCGAGTTCGTTCCATTACGAGAGGATGTGGCGCGACAGTTCCTGCCATTTACAGTAATCCTGATTCTTGAACGGACAGAAAGGGTCGGACGAGTGTGAAAGCGGAAGCGCAACAGTTTACGCACCCCGGGAGCTCCCTATCCTATCGAAATTGAAATTACTGAAGGCGGCGTCAACTGGTGCACCACTTATTGGTTAAAATATGATAGAACCGATGGCTAGTAGAGAGGTAAACGAAGAGTTTAATCATTCTGAGGAGGGTTTCGTGGAGAAAGGTGCAGGAAAAGGCCATATAAGGCCCTACCCCTTCAAGACTCTCCCTTCTTTTTCCTTCACCCCCGGCTTTTTCCTTCCCAGCCGCAGTCCTTTGGGGTCCGCGCTATAGCCTTTCTGGCAGCGTAACAGAGTTCGACGTTGACGATACCAGCCGTCGTGAAAACTCGCCCAGCACCCAAAAATCACGTGAAAGGTTGAGGGTCTCATTTTGCGGACCTCTTCTATGTTTCGTATTCGATTGGCGACCAAACTAGCGTACCCACTGCTTTTAGACAACTCTACAGTTCTTCTTCGAGTTCCCACCTCAATCGACTTTAGGGCATCAGGAAGACATGGGAGGTCGAATAATCGTACATGGAAGGTAAAAATGCAAGCTTTAGACTTAGTCGATTTCGTCCCTGGTATGGTATAGTAACAAATATGTCAGGTTTTGGAGCAATCAAAAGGTAAACGAGCGAATGAGAAACGGTATCGAAAGTATAAAGAAAAATGAATAATGAGTAATTTTATTTTTACCTAAATAAGAGGGGGATTCGGGCGCAGTT